GGTGCAAGCCTCTTCCACCTCAACTTCATCCTCAGCCTGGACACCACTCGCTTCTTCAACCCCCCTTCCTTCTTCAAAATGTGATCTCTCTCCTCGGGAAAAGATCAAGAACTACCTCTTCTTTGCTTTCTTCCCTCATCCTCCACAACTTCTTTCCTCACCCTTTCTCTCTCTTCTTCTTCCATAACTGATTGGAGAGCAAGTCGCCATGCAAGGTTCTCAATAAGTTCAGTTTGCATCTCCTCGCTCAGGCCCAGCATGTCAGAGCGGAAATGGGGAAAGTTGTGAATCTACCACCAGAGAGGATACACTTGATCATGATTATCATGGGAGCTTTCCTTGACAACTTCTGTATGCTCCATCAACATCCTCACGATTGCCTTTTTCTTCCTCCGCTCTCTACTTGTATGGAAGCATAAAAGTTGTATTGAGAAAACTGTTGAACAGGCTTTCTCAATGACTTCTATGTGCTTCTTTTATGCTCCGAAGGGTATCCTCTGTTTCACGGGGGAAAGGAGAAGTCAGTTTGGGCAATGGCCTGGATATGAGGATCCATCTCGTGGAAAGGATCTCTCAGGTACTCGAGCAATCTGCTCCACGAGAAGCCTCAAGTGATAGTTTGGATCTGGCTGTGGAGTGTAGCATGGCTCTACCGGATCGCCCATGAAGGCTGTGGCGAACTCAAGATCTGATGACCCTTCTTGTTGTGGGAGGAATTCTTCTTGATAAGGAGATTGTTCTTGAAATACCCAGGGGTCTGATTGTTCTTTGTAGTAGGGGGGTTGGTACTGAAACCCGACTCCATAGTCTTCTCCTCCTTGGTAGGGGTGGGCAAACGGTTCGGTAAACCCGAACCGAACCGAAACCGAATTAAACCGAACCGAAACCGAATTAATGCTATTCGGTTCGGAATTCGGAAGGAAAATATGGATAGTTCGGAAATCAGGGTTCTCTCAACCGAACCGAATTTCCGAATTTCCGACCGAAAAACCGAAATACTATAATTGCAAGCTCCAAATGGTGGATTTTTATGTTTGTAGTTGTTTTTAGACTTAAATATTTGAAATGTTTTAGACTTATGTATTGAAAAGTTTGATTTTATCATTGATGATGCATATAATTACATATTTATTGTTTTATATTTGGGTTAAAAATGATTTAAAAGTGAGAAGATACAAGTACTTTAACAAATTCGGTTTTGGGTGAAAAACCGAACCGAACCGAATTATAATTCGGTTTAAACCGACCGAACCGAATTATAATTCGGTTCGAATTCGGTTTGAGGTTTGGGAGAATTCGGGGACCCGGTATTCATAATTTCGGTTCGGTCGAAACCGAACCGACCGAATGCCCACCCCTAGTCCTTGGTTACTCCAAGGAGTCTCGGGGTAATACCACTCGGATGGTGGTGGATACCCCCAATGATTGGAGAAGCCATGAGGGTCCATGATTCAGATCTGCACCAACAATAACAAAAAACACCCAAGTGAAAAGCAAGGGCAGAAAACAAAAGAAAAACGCTAAAGTAACAAACTTCTGCCTTTCCTAATAATCTAGAAAGACCCCGGCAACGGCGCCAAAAACTTGACACGCTAAAACACAACACCTAACAATGGCCAAGTGTAACCAATGAAAGGGACTGCAGTATAGTGGCACAAGTAATAAATATCGAATCCACGGGTCTCTAGAGTTACTATTACTCAGCTTCAGTTCATTATCTAGCAAACTAGATTAAGGATTGATTTATAAATTACTCTACTGACTACTCTACTAATTACAAGTTGGGAACTCACTAAGGTATGATTCCACCTAGATCCTCAATTAGGTCCAAGTTGCAATTACCTTTGGTTGATCTACTGTTGATTAAACTGCGGAAGATCCTAAATTAGCTTGGAATCTCTTAAACTGACCAAGCCTTCTCAGTCCAACTACCCGGTAGACGACTAGTCTTCACCAGGATAGAAAGCTGAGTCTATGAACACAGAACTTCACTACTGGAATGAATTCCAGTACAAAGCAGTGAATTGATTGACTCTCGCACAACCAATTCACCACTATCAATCAAGGAAGCTCTCTTAACCTAATCAGATTCTATCTATCATAGGTTAAAGCAGAAATCAAGAGAATTTGATCAAGATTCAATTGACTCAATAAATCATGCCTCAATCGATTATAATCAAACAATATAGCATCCAAAACTTCATACAAGAAAGATCCTAACACATGGAACTAGGGTTCATCAAAACCTAAGTGAAGGGAAGTTACTCCATAGAGAAGAGAGAGACTGCAGAAATCTGATCTAGATCTTCAATCTCCATCTCCAAGCTTGATTCCCGAGCTCCAATGGCGAAGAAATCCTCCAAAATAGCTCCAAGAATGTTCCCAAGTCGCTCTCTCTCTCTCTCTCTCTCTCTAGGGTTCGTCCCTTGGGTGTTTGGGAACCAAAAACCCAGCTCTCCCCTTTCCTTTTGCTGAAAATCGGGTTTTAAACAGAAATTCCAGATCACGCAGCCAGGCCACACGGCCGTGTGGTTTTCCCAGCTGCCTGTGTGAAGGCTCGGTGATTTCCACACGGCCAGGACCCACACGACCGTGTGGAGTTCCAGGATGCCCGTGTGGCTTACCCAGCCTCTGTTTAATGCTTCATTTCTCCCTCGTCCGGACTCCGAATCAGTCGTCGTTTGATCCCAGACGCTCGTAGTCTCGTCTTCTTTCTTTTCATGACAAAATTCCATGATTATTTGTCCATTATATGAGGTAGAAGTCCATTATTCCTCAGGTCATGCTCGTGTTTCTTCTCCCGAATTGCCAAATGATCTCCGATTGACTTGAAACTTGCGCCTATGCTTCAAATTACATGCTAGGACCTGAAATGTGACAAAGGAACACAACCTAGCGTAAAATAGTCCAAGAAAGCAGAAACTCAAGCCAAAATGATCAAGAAACGAGGGTGCAAACATGTGCAAATCCGATGTTATCAGATAGTGCAAATGTTTAGTTCTCATGTGTGCAAAAAATGAATGGATGTTTTGACTCGATTACTTGTTGATTACAATTGCCATGCATGTTGCTTTGTGAATTGGAATAGATGGTTGGGTGACTAGGTAGCCATGTGAGTTTTAAGCCGATCGTTTTATTATTATGTGCTTAGATCCCACTTACCATGGCGAGTAACATCACAGTTGTCACTAGTAAGTATGATGGAGGCATAGGATTAGTCCACGCCCAAATGTTGATTGCCCCGAAATGATTTATCCACTAGTCAACCCCTTTGAGCCTTGTGACTTTGGGGGTCGTTCTCTTGCTAGGAACTTGTTGTTCGTGAGCTTAATGGTGTTGATAGAACGACCCCCATCCTTTCTTCGTGTCTATACGTGTGTCATCCTTGTGTCCCAAAGCTCTCGCTTTGAGCTCCATTGAGGTTCTACATAGGAGGACTTTATGCGGTTCTTGCTAGGAACGAAAGTGAAAGGAAGATTAGTGTTGGAGCGAGTTCTTAAAAAGAGAGCATTGATCATTAAAAGTACAGTGGCAAGTTGATGCGGCCGCAGCAGCGGAAGGGCAAGGAAAATACCCGGTGGAAGAAGCCAATACCCGACCGGGTATTTTGGCAGCAGCCGGTTTCTTTTGGGCAGAAGGCCCCCCGGGGGTGGAGGATAAATACCTGATCGGGTATTTTTAGGGATGACTGGGTATTTTAACCTGTGTGACGGGAATTCAAATTTTTAAGTTGTTTTTGTTATTTTTAATTGCACAGACCTATATAAAGGCTGAAACTCGAGTTTTAGGGTTAGTTTTTAGCAGAATATTGATTTTTACCTTGGTTTTCAGCTTAAGGCTTGAAATTTTTCTCTGTATCAATCAAGTTTTCCCCTTGATTGTGATCGAGATTCTACCTTTCTATATTGATTGAGCCTTCTCTCATCTTGTCTTGAGATTGCACTTTCAATTCCATCTTATCCCAAACAAACAAAAACCCCTAAATAGTCTTTCTATTGTTCGTTCTTGGAGCTGTGTCCTTTGATAACTACGTGTACAGGTTCCGTGCTCGTATCACGTGGTATCAGAACGTCGGTTCAACACAGTGACAGGATTGAAAGCGAGAGGACCTGATTCTTGTCGAACGAGGTCCAAATATCCGATTGCAGAACGCATAGAAAAGGAGGAATCACTCTCTGAAGAAGAAACCCCAATTGAAGAACCAGTCATGGGAGAGCAGAGTCAGAACCTTGCAGAAGCTATGACGCTGTTTGCCGCACAAATGACGCAGATGGGAGCCTTGCTTCAGGCCCAGCAGGACGCTACCAAAGGTCAGCTGGTTGAGACAAATCAGACAGAGGCTGGATTCCCTTATCACCAGGTTGGAGACACAACCAATGGGTAATCCACTACCACCGGAGAATCCAGCAATTGTCGCAGCTCATACTGGGGCCGCGAACCGAGAAGGTCCCCGAGCAGACCAAATGTATGACTTTCATCATTGTTTACCACAAGTTACAACTCACATACCATAGCAAACGTTTGCAAAAACGACTTAAAAACGAAGAAGTTACCATATGGTATGTAGTTGGTAACTAGAGGTATGAAAAAAAGTTTCTCGAAATATATTGAAAATTGATATCATTTTGTAGAGCACAACGAACTCGTTTCATCTGTGCAAAAAAAATTGAAATCTGAGTTAGAACGATGAAGATAAGAGTCGATTAATGAAGCTAGAAAAAATAAAATGTCTTTAATTCACAACCCTTAGATCTAAATTTTGTGAATTCACTTAAATTTAAAGATCCAAATTCACTTACGCATAGATTAGTAATCAATAGTTAGTGAAGGTATCCCAAGCCCATTTTGAGCTAGGAGTAGGGATAAGAAAACAAGTAGATCGTTATTAAATAACGAAATGATTTGTTAACATTAAAATAAACTCAATTTGTCAAATCGCCAGCCAAAACCAGTAAACGTCTCAACATCCCATCCTTCTATTTTCTTCTGGTAGCTGCCCTCCCTCTCCCCTCGCAGTCTTCCATTGTCTGCCCTTCCTCCCTCCCTCCCCCGTCCCGTTAATACACCACTTTCCCGGTCGACAAAGCTCTGAATCAAAACTACAGAATCAGAAAAGAAACTCCAATCCCATTCCAATCACTCGCTCAGTCACTCTGTTCCTTCTTTCTCTCCTCTTCCAACCGCTCCGCTCTTGTAAGAGCTTTTGACGATTTTTTGGGTTCGATGAGGGCTTTTGATTCATGCCGCAATGCCTTCAATCGAGCCGCCAATCGATGCTTCGATGTCTTCCCTTGTCTAGCAGATCCCGGTATGTCCATTTTTTTAATTTTCTTAATTCCGAACAATCTACGCCTCTGTCATTTTCCAACTCTCGGATGTATGATTTCCAGCGAGGAGATCATCGCTGGGATTGAGGCTAGCATTGGTGTTGCTGCATCTACTCTATGCTGGAGTTCTCTTTCTCTTCGACACTGACTTGATTGATAAAACGAAGCAGCAGCCTTGGTATGTATGCCAGTCACTTTTCCTTAATCAGAATCTGTCGCCGAATTAGCCCAAATTTATGTGATTTCCGGTTTCACTTACTTGAATGCACTGCATGACTCTGCTCCCTACTCTTGGTTATGCACGTTCTGGTTCCTTTTCTGGTGCATTCGAGGTTTAGGGTGGTTTTGGAAGATCCTAGATGGGGTAAATCATGAGCTTAGTTACTTGAACTACAGTTGGTATAGGGTTTACTGCAGCTATTGTTGACCTCCTCTTATTTGCTTTCTTCAGGTTTACTGCTCTGTATGGCTTGTTGTTCTTCGCAACTTTGGTTCAATATTTCGTTACGTCTAGCTCATCTCCTGGGTACGTTAATTGCATCATGCTCAACACACATTGAGTAGCTAAACTTCTGGGGGGTTTCATTGTCCATTCTTATTAATCCAGTCTTCGTTCCACCCCCTCTTTCTTTCCCTTTCTTCTTTTAGCTATGTCATTGATGCAATGAGGGACCTTAATGAGAGAAACGCAATTGCTAGGCAGGCAGCAATGATTTCAAAGTAAGTCTGATTTTGAGCTCGTTAAAATTAGTGGAACAGATATTGATTGCAACTTAGGTTCAGTGAGGGGCTAATGGTAGGGTTTCCGGATGTCTGTTTTGACACTTGGCCTCCTGATAACTACCTTTTCCGTGTTTAAGCAAAGACAGCCTGCTTCAAGTAAAAATGGAAACTTGGTTATAACCATTGATGCTACTCAGCATGGACGCCTGCTTCATGGAAGTAATATAATGCCATGGACAAAGCTGGTTTTAGATCTGTATCCCCCTGGAACGTCGGTCAGGTATGACTTTTACACTGTATGTTTGATCTAGCGTGGCTTCCTTTTGTTCTTCATTTGGAGATATGATATATTTACTGTTCTTGATTGGGAAGGCAGAAACAAATCGTAATTCATCACCTGGATCTGTATCAAGTAGTACATACTCTTAATAGGCAGAGTTAAATGCTAAATTGACTATCTCAAAGAGCTAGAATTTTTAGGGCAGATTTCTGTGTGAAGGGTCCTGCATTCCAACTCTCCTGATACTCTTGGGGAACCATGTAATTCTCCAGCTGATTTACACTTTTAGATTTTGAATCATGCTGTTCATTGTTAGGTTTTAAGTGATGTTCTTTCTTTTAGCAACTGATACAGTGGTTGTGTGACGTGAGTGTTAGCAATACTGTAACTTCATCTAATGGCAATAGACTTTGATAAAAACTCTGTTTATTCTGCTCTATGCAGAAACTGCACTTGTTCCTATTGCAATGTTGAACAGGTAATTATTGGACATCTTGGCATAGTCTTCTGTTATTTTTGTGGGAATTTAAATCTGTTTTTGCTGTTGTCACCTTTTCGTTACCTACCATTTCTAATGTAAATGCAGCCTCCTCGAGCAAAGCATTGTCATGATTGTGACAAATGCGTTCTCCAGTTTGATCATCACTGTGTTTGGCTTGGAACATGCATTGGCCAGGGAAATCATTGTCGGTTCTGGTAAGCTGTGATATCTTTTCATTTCCCAATAGGGTTGTGATGCGTAGTCTGTGAACGAAATGATGATGATTCACTCCGTGAAGTTTTGTATGTTCTAGTTGTTGGTTGAGCAGCACCAGAAAGTTCAGTTTCTTGTTCTGCTAAGTTACTAGGTCTTTTGATGGCTGCCGTTCTAAGTCAGTTATATTTCCATGAAGTGCTTTACTTGTTTTTCTTTGATCCTTGCTTATATCGCCTGTGCCATATATTCTCACTGAACTATCTTGTATTTATATGTAATATAATACTTCAGGTGGTACATCTGTGGGGAAACAGCATTGTGTCTGTGGACTGGCATCTTGTATATCACCTATTTAAAGTCTAACATCTCGAGGTTTTGGTATGATTACTTGTTGAGAGCTTGTCTCTACTTGTTGGACTTCGTTTTTCAATGGATTTAAACTATTTTCTAATTGACACACCATTATGTCTAGGTGGAAGGATGCCATCACGATACTGCTGGTGATTACTTTGTCAATCTTCTTATTATTTCTGCTTCTCCTCCTGCTTTTCCATAGGTAAGTAAATTATGGCTTTATCCCCGCAAATAGCTGGTACTGTGTTTGTTGCATTATACTATCACACAGCTCTCTTGAAAACTAATGTCTTTCACCTCTGGCCATAAAATTTCCACCATTTATTACAGTAAACTTCCTTCTACTTCCTGAAAAAGTGAAGGATAAAAGTTTGTATTGCTGCAGAAAGTACCTTTCTTGAAAATTAACCTTTTGGAAGCATTAAGACAATGCACTAACACTTGTTTCTGGTACAGCTATCTTATTCTTACCAACCAGACCACCTTTGAATTAGTAAGACGCAGGCGGATCCCATATTTGAGGTATGTTTGTACTTCAACACACTCTTCTGGCTAAGACCAACCTTCCTTAAACCATAATTTGGGCTACCGTGTAAAGCTGCATACGGAGCACCTTGCTTCAGGTCCTGACCACTTTTTACAACCTGCTCTTGGTGATCTACAGGGGTATTCCTGAAAGAGTGTATCCCTTCAGTAAGGGAGTCTGCAGCAACTTGTATGGTTTTTGTTGTGCTCCTAGAAGCCTATACAGTTTGGAAAGGATGCCCTCGAGGGTGGAAATGGAAGAGAAGTCAAGACCTTACACGTGCTTGGATATTTGACTTGCCGTTGCTGCTAAGAGTTTTGTTCATTGTAGATTTACTCGTGTGCAGAGTATTCACAATAGAGTCCATAGGAAGACAGTTTGTTCCACCAATCAATCCATTTGTCTCCTCTTTGGAAAAGAACGACACTTGACAAGTTTCAGTTTGCCGCTTCTTTAGGAGGATCTGCAGTTAGGGATAAGGCAATTGTGTTCTTGACTTAAGTAATGTTGTTTGTACTCTGGGATAAATCTCAGCATGTCTGCTACGTCATGTGTGTAATTTGTATGCTAACGAGGATGAAAGAAACTGTTGTATCACTGTGGGTGTTATGTAACCCATTAGAGCGAAGCTGTAACTATTTGCAAAGCAAGCGAGGCAAGCAGTTACGGCCAGAATGGAGATGGAATACCCAATCACTTTATGATTCGAAGCACCAGTGAAGTATGCTGGTTTTCTTCCTGTCGTACACAGCTAATAGCGCAATGCACATACGAAAGGGTTCCTCGGAAAATATTGCATGAACCAACTCAGCAAGTCGTGTAATACAAATGATTGCATATCTGTATGGATATTACAGAGATTTAAGTCATGATGTATACAATATAGAATAATTTCCATGCATGAAGCAAAAAGGACTGTGCAAAATGAGGTCAGAAGCCTGTCTAAGCTTTTGGTTTGCGATACTTGAGAGCTTCAAAGCGAGCAGCAAGTTGATCATAGTCTGGCAACTTAGGATGATGAACTGCAGGGACAGGTGGCGGAAGACGCACAGGAGGAGGCGGACAACCAGCAGCAGCACCACCACTTGGACTTGGGTTTTCCATTTCAATCTCTTCGTCACAGTCGGATTCATCAAACAGAACGCCAGAATCCCGAGAGGAGCATCGGTGGTCATCATCGTGTGTGCCACCGTGGACATTTCGGTCATCCTCCTGCACTGCCATCATCCCATTGTAGCTGTGTCTTCTTGTATAGGGAAGATGATCACCGTCAACCATCTTTGTTGCTGGCGGTGGCGCATCATTGTAGCTGTACCTCCTGAAACCTTCATTGCCTCGACAGTCGGAAGACCCACTGAAGTTCTGATGATAGTCATCCTTCATTCCTGGACTGGTATCAGACCGATTCCTCTCCCTGTCAGCTAAGTAAGCCGCAGCTTGTGCAGCTGCAATTGCTTGCTTTGCGGATTGTGCAGCTGCATCAGCGGCAGTTGCAGCATCTCCAAAATAAGCATCACCAGGTTGGCCTTCATTAGTTGATCTGTGAAAGATGATAAATGGCACAGGTGTTGATACGGGAAACGTTACTATTTAGAGCCTCTTGGTGTGACAACTGACGGTGACAAGAGAAAAATAACTAACCTGGTGGTGGTTCGTTTATGTGGCTCAACAGAGTTACTCGGCTGTAGCTTAACCGGGAAGCTGGAAGCACTGGCAAAAGTGGAAGGTCCATCCTGATTAAGCAGAAAGAAGCGCAAAGAATTAGTTAGCAGCTGGAAAGAGGTTGACAGAGAAGAGATAATAAAAGAATGGAGTTACTAACTATGAGTTCTTCTGGGGGCTTGAGGAGCTCCTTCTCAGACTCTGCTGTATCCCAATCCACCTGATACTCTTTGGCAATCTCTTTCATGACTTTGAGCTTCACTTCACCAGTGGGAGGTCTAACAGAGAGCTTGTCGATTAACTGCGAAGAAAAAGCAGCTAGTTTGGAGTTCCCTGGCTCGGGGAAGGAGCGAGGGTGGTGATTGGTAAAAGTAGACGAGAGATTACCATGCGATTAACCCCACAATCTGGTCTCAAATCAGTTGCAGCATTCACAAAATCAGTCCCATACTTTTTCTGGAAAATGTCTTTCAATGCGACTAGTTCTGGGATCTCAGAGCACCTTGGGGCAGCAAACATCAAACTGGCAATTCCTTCTTTCAGGTCTGCTGGACAATCCCTGGGAACAACGAGTCAATGGGCATGGCAGAAGCACATGAGAATGAACTCACGGGTTGGAAGGGTTTCTGCAGACTTTAAACCCTATTAGGTATTTGAGTGGAGGACGCACCTTTGCTTTGAGATGATTGAAAGTCTGGACACTAGTAGCTCACAGAACAACTCAATGAACTCATTTGCAGCCAAAACATTCTGCTCTCGGATCACATGCTCAACCTATACAAACACGCCCGTGTTATGTTAATCTACAACCCAACCAAAATGATTACAGAAAATCATCCAGTCAAAGAAGCAACAGTTATCCAAGAGACAGAGATATGGCATATCCAAATTGCAGTCCGGACTCGAAATCATCGAATCCGAGTGTAAGCATCGGCGAATGAAGTGGAGTGGAGGGTTTCCATATTACCCGGATACGAGCAGTAGCATCCTGGCCAGACTGAAGAAGCAAAGCGACGTCTCTTCGCATCTGCCGCACCACCGTCTGTCTCTTGTTCCTTAGCAGCTTTATCCTCGCCACCGTCATCTTCGCCGCCATTTTACTGCTCCAAGAACACAAAAGCACGCCAATCACACTCCGTGGTTTGGTAAGAGGGAGAATAGAAACAAGGATCAGCCACAAGAGGGTTTCAGCAGAGGAATGTGGAACGTACCATTTGGAGGAGTTGAAACGAGGCCAGATGATAGAGAGGGTGAACTTCATCAACTTCTTGGAGGAGGAAACGGCGGCACTAGCGGCGGTCATGGCGGTGGTCGGAGTTGTTGAATTTCCTCAAAAGTATCGGTAAAGCGAGGGAGAGAGAGGGGGGAAAACAAACATGGCCCTTTGCCTCTTTTTAGGTGAAGGGGGCGAAGTAAGCGCTTAACGGGCGGGCTGATTGGGAAAGAGAATAAGAATGAATCATTTCTTTCTCGATTCAGATCGGACGCTTGATATGGAACGCGAGGAGGGCCGACGTGACATTTGGGGCGGTGGAGCGATCTAGTGGATTACAGTACAAAATATAGCCGTTATGTATTGTAGTCGTGGGGTGTGGACGGCTGGCAGAATCCCAATGCTAGCGATGTTGTTGTAGCCTAGGATGGACTGGGCCCGTCATGTTGAAAAAGGAAAGTTTGGGCCCTATGAACTCTAAAGCTGGGATTTCAGCCCAAACCAGTTCCTCCACTCACTGGTGAGGTTAATATGGTGGGCCTCAATTGCAACCAAACTGTTGACCCGATCAGAACCCGCCCCAATAATAGAAGTTTTTATAACCCGAAGTCTGAATAACCCGAATCTGATGAACCCGTGATTTTTTGGGTCGGACTGGGTGGGTTAGCGGGTCAACCCGTTAGACCAGTTCCATTTCATGTCACTCCCAAAATGATAAAATCACTTAGGGTTAATACCTTATTTTGGCCCGAACTATGACCATATAATCAACTTTGGCCCGTGGTTTCAGAAATTAACATCCTGGCCTCAACTATGCAGCATATAGACTCAATTAGCCCGACACATAGTTTGACCGTCAATTTGGACGGTCAACTCCGTTGACCGTTAGTCAACACGCCATGTCATTGCCTAATCAGCCTAAAAATCATTAAAAAAATGCAAATTTCAAATTATTTTTCTATTTTTTCTTATTTATTATCAAATTAACTAAAAATAAATTATAAAAAACATAAAATAAATTTGACTTTTATTTTTTGCATAATTTGAAAAATGATAAATTTTATAAATTAAATAAAAATTATCAAATTATTTTATATTTTTAAAATTTCCCACAAAAATATAATTTATATCATAATTTTTAAATTTATAAAATTTATTTAGATAATTTTTGGTTAATTTATAAAATTTATCATTTTCAAATATCACAAAAAAATTATTTTATATTTTTAGAATTTTATTTTTTGGTTAATTGGAAAATGATAAATAATAGAAATTAGGAAAATAATTTGAATTTAAATTTTTTTAATCATTTTTAGGCTGACTAGGCAATGACATGGCATGTTGACTAACGGTCACCGGAGTTGACCGTCCAAATTGACGGTCAAACTATGTGTCAGGCCAATTGAGTCTATATGCTGCATAGTTGAGGCCAGGATGTTAATTTCTGAAACCACGGGCCAAAGTTGATTATATGGTCATAGTTCGGGCCAAAATAAGGTATTAACCCAATCACTTATCAATTGGTGAGATGTCTAAAAAAAATCACAAGGATTTGAAAGACTGCTTGGAGTTTAAAGATAATCATATATCATGATTGTTTTTTGACGATTTGTGCAATTTGTATTTCATTTGATTAGCATGGGAGGATTTGAGAATATGTTAATTGACATATGTTAGGTAAATTATTGTGTGAAAATTTTTTTACTATAAAACATATGAAGCATGTTTGATATAGTTTCTGTGAGCGCTCTAACCTGAAACGACATGTAACCCAACCTGAAACCCGATGGGTTGGGTCAATATTTGACCCAAAATCAACCAACCCAATATGACCTTACCCGTGACTCGAGACCCAACCCGACCTGATTGTCAGGTCTAATTGCTGCTGTCATGCAATGAAAATTGTACAAATTGTCCGCACCGGAGTCAGATAAGCTCATAAAGTAAACCAAGTCTCATGGCCATGTGGTGCTCCTCATATGTTGTGTTGTGTGTTTATGTTTGTTTTTTCCATGCAAATGAAGCAATATGTTGACTGTAGGGTAATTAGTTTGACTATTTTTCTCGATAGACTTGGGTATAACAACATACATGACAAAGTAGCACTAGTTGTACGTGTCCAAAATCATGGTGATGGGATGCTCTAAGAAATTATTAGAATCACTCCCAAGCACCATACAAAATTTCATAGGTACATTGGTTGAAGTGTGCAATCTGGTCTCTCATATTATCAATTCTATATAGAGAAAAGAACTCTTATATGAAAGGTTGGACCAGATCGTCTCACGCATGAAAAATATCAAGAGTCAGGACATTGGCGAATTAGTAAGCTCTTTGCTTCCTCCCATATGGAGAAATGAAAAAGGCATAACCTGATTGCATCTGGCTCAATACCAAGTTGTTTTGCAGAATCACATGTCTCTAGACACACTTTGA